TAAATAAAAAACGATCCAAATTACATGAAACTCACCATTTAAGCACACAAATAATAAGTTAATTTAGAATACTTTGAGTTGTCTCAATTTCTCTTCTCCTAAACCTTATATTTATACATGACAAACACTAATAGTACCTCAAATCATTGTTTATATAACATGCTTGACATCTATCCCATTTGATCTTACATAATCAACATTATGTCATATAATATCTCCTCAATTATTGCATACTGAATTATTGGTGATTTGGTGGTATAATTATCTTTCTAAATCTAGGCTAATGTGATATTGAAACAGTGAATTATTTTCCCTTGAAATATAACAATAAGGAATCACTAGTGTATCAAGGTTACTATCTTGATATATTTTAGTAACAATTCTGTGGTCTTGAGATTATGTACAAAATTCATCTGAACTTGTAGATATTTATCTCAATAATGTATTATGTGATAAATCAATCCATATTTGTGTGATATGGTTTGATGATCTTTCCAATTCAAATCTAGTTGATACCATACGATTATCTGTTTCAATTGGTAATTTTTTTTCCTATTTTTTTTTTTTAATTTTCTTCCTACTTTGGAATTATGGTTCTTTGTATTTGTTAGTCATAGTATTCATTTGCAATTAGAGGGCTCCGGGCCTTGCTGGGTTGTGTCTCGTGCTAAGCCCACATGCTTTAAGGTTAGTTAGGCCCAACCCAAAGCTCGGCCCACGAGTTCGTGCCGGGCCGATATTTTCAAAAAATTTGGTTCGTGCTTGCGTGTCTAAGCAAAATTGCATTGATTTTAACATATTTTGTCGTGTCAGACCAGATCATGTCATACCTTATCGTATTCTTCTCAAATAAAGGTGGTTAAGTCCAGCCCACGGCCCACACACACAGTATCGTCCTTTTTTTTTTTTTTTTGTGCCGGCCCGACCTAGTGCCATCTTTATTTTCAATACTATTGGACATATAAATGGTGGGAAAATTGTAATCTTTTTTTTTTTTTTTTTTTTTATGAGAAATCTTTTATTTATTTATTTTATATACATTAAAATATATTTTTTAATTCTATCAAATTTTTGAATCTATTTTGTAATGTTCAGTCATTTTTTCACTATCTTATGACCAATAATAATCTATGCACACTATTGTTCGTCATGGCCTCATGGAATCATCACGATTTTAGAGTTTATTCTTCAAACTTTTAAAATGTTTTATAGAAATAAATTAAGAATGTTCAAATAAGTGTAAGATTAAATTATACAAATTCTTTCAAAAAAAAAAAAGTACAAATTAGATCAAATAAATTTTACTCTGCAATAAGTTCAAATAAAGATCAGTTACGTGGACACGCAATAAGCTTAATAATGCCAAGTTCTCCCAAATAAAAAATAGATAAATAAATAAAAAAAAATTTAAAAAAAAAAAAAAAAAGCCAAGATGAAGCTTGCGGTGAAGTGGGCTACATGTAATCATGTATGCCTAGCTGGGCTTCATTGGGCTTTATTTTTCTTTTCATTTGGGCCAAGTTGCTGAACAACTATATGTCTATATATATATGAGATAATGAGATGCAGAACTTGCACATATGACATAGCTTCTTGTCACGCAATTAAGAGGAGATTAAAGAATGTAAAGGTGCAAATTAATTAACTAAAATAATTTCAATTCTGATACAAGGGATGAATCGGGAATTGAGATACTAAGGGCCTGTTCTAATATGATTATTTTCAGTTCAGTTCAGCTCTAATAAATTTAGTTCAGTTCAGTTCAGCTCTAATAAGTTTAGTTCAACTTCTAATTTCCTTCTCTTATAAAATATTCAGTTCAGTTTAGCTCTAATAAGTTCAGTTCAGTTCAATTCAGCTCTAATCAGTTCAGTTCAGTTCAAATCAGTTCAGTCAATGAGAACATGCCCAAAGTTTAAGTTATTTTGATATTTGTCTTATTAATCTCAAAATTATATTGTGTGCCTAGAGATAATGTTACAAGTATTTTGAAATAAAGGAATATCAACTTGATAACTAAAAAAATTAGATCATCATGAACAATACAGTCTGAATATTTACCTTTTTAACTTGATGCACAATACACGAGACAAAAGTAATATTCATTAACAAAATGTCAATTCAAATTTACAACTTTTTTTTTCGACATACAAAGTTAAAGATTAAATTTTATCCTAGTAGTTTGAAAGTTTAGGTCGTAAAAAGAAACATGATAATGTGATATAAACTTTTGATAATTACACTCAAGTGACCTAAAGTTTCAAAATCATCCTTTTGTCGAAAATCGATCACAAGTATTTTTATTTATATAATTGAATATTTGTCATTTTTATTTTTATTTTTATTTTTGTTCAATAAAAATACTTCGTTTAATCTATCAAAAATCTTCATTAAAAAGTCGTTTTTACCCTCTATTTTCGGCCATTTTATAATAATCTCAATTTGTTTATCCTTAATTAAACAAAGCATCTAGTGATCTAGCAATTCGATATGAGGGAAGGATTCTTCGTATGTCACTTGTGAGTTTATTATTGGTGTGTAGGGAGTATTGTATTGTATTATTGTTGATTGTCAAACAATGAGTTCCACAAAAAAAAAAAAAAAATTAAAGGTTCTCTAGGTTAAATGTCTATAGATTTCATAAAGTTCATAGATTCACAATAATTCTGTTTCTGGAAGCCCAATTTTTTCATGTTCTTTCTATTTTTCAGCATATGTTCCAAGTAAAATTAAAGATCATATGTTTCTGGAACCCCTTTTCAATTTATTCCTTGTATAATTAATTAATTAGTTCTTCATATCAGCAAGATATTTAATATTTTTGTTTTGTTTTTGTGAATAAAAAGTTTGTTAATAAGGGCTTTTAGAACATTAAGGCAAGCTAGCTTCCATGATTTACATTGGACCTTTTTCTGTTCACCTTTAGTCGCAATATTTTGACTTTCATGATTGATGATACATTTTAATTTTTAATTAAAAATAAATAAGATTTAGAATTTTTTTTGATATTTTGATGATAAAATATGAGACGTAGAATAAATGACCACAAATATATAATACATTATCTTACATATAAATCACTAAAAATGGTTGTATAAAAGTTTGTTAATAGAGAAAAAGTCAAAATGTTACAACAAAAAATGATCAACGGAAGTATTTAGTGAATGAAAGTACCCTAAACCATAATTATGGATGGAATCAGATCGGATCCCACAATTGGCTTTGAAATCATGTTTAGTTAAGTTCTTTGTAGTTTAACTTGTATTATCATTGTAGAATTGAAGTTTATTGATGGGTGTAGTGGGTGCATAAAGAATCATATCTCTTTGTAATGGATGAAAGAATATTTTTGAAAATTATTAGAACTTTCCATACATACAACATAGACAAGAGGCCAGGAAAAAAAAGGGAGATATATCACAAGAATATGAACACGAGTTTAATGAATTTTGTATCCTGTAATTTTACCCGAATTTTGAATGTGTATGTCATGTATTTAAAATTAAAGCACCTAAAATGATGGTTTTGGTGGTACAAGGATTAATAAATATGCTGAATTGCTCCCAAGAGCATCTATTAACAATTTGTCCATATATGATATTGTATGAATTAAAATTTTGTCAATTTATGATATTTTATCACGATAACATGGCATACAACTTAAATTTATCTATTCCTCAATACAAACATGTTCAGAGTAAAAATTTTGCACTACTACTTTTTTTTTTTTTTTTTTGTTGAAATTGTAATTTTGGACTATTTTGTATGACTCGTACTATTATATAGTTTATAAGCTGTGAATATATATTGGTATACGTATTAGGTCAATTCTGTTCTCTTTCTTTTACTCATTTTAAGAAAAATAAGTTTAGATAAGATTTGAATTATTTCGTATTCATTTGGATAAAAAAAAGGTTTAATCAGAATTGGATACATTCCAAATTGCAATGTCTTTCAGTGACAAGCCATAACTAAACTGGTCCAAGAGTTGTACTCCATAAATACATTTCTGGAACCATCTAAAGGGTCCATAATAAATAATGTTCTATCAAGTGTAGGCAAAATTACAAACCATCTTCAAAAAGAATTTGGGTTTAGCAGCACCACACAGTATGCAGTACTCACTAATTGACTTGGTCTCAAATTTTGACTTATACTTGGTCCTAGAAAATGTTGACCCGATACGACTACATAATACTGATCGGACATGAAATGAATGGATTAAAATGTTATACTAGCAAAATAGGATCATCTAAACACGACTTAATACAAAAACATTACAAAATGGGCATTAAAAAAAATTAATTTATAGTCAAAATTTTCTTGAGATTATAACTTAGATGAGCTGACACCCACAGTAAATCGATTAATTAAATAGATTGGGATAATGTCAAGAGTTTCACTAAGATTAATCAAATGCAATAGGTCGAATGAGTGTAAAACTCATCAACTAAAATAACAGGTCTAACACGAGGACAAACACAAACACAAATTTGTTAAAACATGAAGACCTATTTAACAACTCTACTTATGACGATGTTACCTCGGCCGTAGCATAACATATATAATTTGTGGTGTTTAAGAAAAATTCTGGAAGGAAATTCCACACGTGTGACAACGAACACATAACTAACTCTAGTCTCTTTACCCTGCCCCACAAAAGGCAAAGTTAAGGATTATAATTGGTTGATTAACATTAGAAGCAGAGACCAAAACATACACCAAAAGAATTGAAGACTTCTTTTTTTTTATATTTCAAAGCCATCACCTTGATTCTTCCACTTAACTCATCCAGGTGCATTGGACTAATTTTTAAAGTCTTCAAATTTGACGAAACTTGTTATCAAACGTGCCACCATTTCTAATCTATAGTTTTTTGTGGACCGTAGGATGTTACAACTGGCGAACCTTGGACCGTCTATTTTGCCAACCTAAGATGTACTTTTTTACTTTTCCTACCCCTTATATATAACATAACATATACTCACTTCACTAACACTTAAGTCATAACATTTTCATGCTATCTATTTTCCATAAATATATAGCATAAAACCAACATACATAAAATATTATACACTATACTTTGTTTTTTTTCTTAGAAGTGTACGTTAAAAGTTTAGAAGAAAAAATGGAGGATGATAAAGATTGTGGTGGTGGTGAGGTTAAGTATAGAGGTGTAAGGAAGCGGCCATGGGGGAAGTACGCGGCTGAAATCCGTGACTCGACTAGGCATGGTGCACGAGTTTGGCTTGGTACGTTTAATACGGCTGAGGAAGCTGCTAGGGCGTATGATCGAGCTGCTTATAACATGAGAGGTCATTTGGCTATACTAAATTTTCCTAGTGAATATAACATGCCTCGCGGTGGTTCTTCCTCTAGGGGAGGTTCCTCATCTTCATCTTCATCGACGAGGAATAATGTTGGGCAAGATAGGGGAAAGGAAGTATTTGAATTTGAGTATCTTGATGATAAGCTGCTCGAAGAGCTTCTCGATTATGATAATAATAAGGGTGGAAGGCAATGAAGCTACATGTATAGTTGATGATTTGATTTCAAGCTCTCGTTCGAGTTTGGACAATGTGTCCTTGCATTTATAACTAATTTCATAATGTAACATCCTTTCTTCTTGAGAACTTTTAATTTGTGTTCGTTTGATGATCAATGGATCAATCTAATAACTTTTACGACTACTATTGAGTATGATATGATATTATACATATGCATTTCTATGTATATGATATTATATTTACGATAATGTACATAGATAGGTTGACAGTCTTGACACATTATGTATTTTTAAGTGGGAAATGAACTATTTTTGAAATGACTTGTAGCAAATTATGATTAATGTAATAATTATGTTGTTTAATGTCAAATTATAAATGGGTGATAGCAACCATTTCTTAAGTAACTAGTTTACTAAAATTCAAACTTAGATGATTTTATTACAATTGATCGAGTCAAAATGGACTTAATTACAATGTGGTGCATTTATTTTCTTTTGCTATAATTTATGGGTTGAAATTGATGGTAGACAAGTTGAAGAAAATTCAACTTATTTTCTATCATCTAAATTTTATTTATTTATTTATTTTTGTGGTTTAAAATAGGGTAATGAGCAAAAATAGGCCAAAAATAAAATTCCATAATTTTATAGTATTTGCATTCCATTGGTGCATTGGTGCATTGGTGCGAGCATCAATGAAAAATGAAGAAGATAGGGACATGTCGGCCCATTGTAACAAAAAGCCCGTCGATCGGTTTATTTTCACGGCCTTATTCCCTAGTAACATCAGTATATCACTTACTTCACATCACTCACATCAATAAGCATTTTGCCCACCTTATTCAAAAAGAAAAAAAATCATACTCCCATCATCTTTTTTTTTTTTTTTTTTTTTTTTTGACAAAGCCCGTCATCTCTAAATAAGCACTACTCCCACGGTTTTAATTACTCACAATATAAGTCACAATATATGTGCATGTTGAAGTAAACCTTAGGTTTAGGTAGACTTGTTGGGGAGGAAGTACTAATGAAGGTTTGATATGTATTTGCAAATACATATCAAACCTTAAAATATTAAAAAGTATTGTAAGCACATGGGAATGAGAGAAAGGAGGAGAGAGATTGGCAAGTGGGACCAATTTTTAAATGTACCACTAAAAGCTTATATAATATCATTGAATATGTAGTGATATTATTTCTATACGTAGTTGGTACCACTAAATGAATATACAGTACCATTGAATGAATATATAGTACCACTGAATGTTCAGTGATACTATTTGATCATCTAGTGATACTATTAATCACCCAGTGGTACATTTAAATCCAGCACGTGGGGGTGAGAGAAAAGGAGGAGAGAGATGGGTAAATTTCATGCGAAATGTCTCAAATGCCCCTTGATATGTATATACAAGTACCTATCAAACCTCCCTTTGGAAGGCCTCTTGTTGGGTGATACGCTACATTTAAATGAATAAATTAATGAATAGTAGAGCAGGTGGAGCTAATGAGGGATTATTTTAATATTATGCTTGAGAGAAAAAGAATGAAGAGTTAATTATGTAGGTTTAGTAGAAGCGGAAAACACAACATCAATGTATAACAGTAGTGCGTTTGAGAGAGAAAGAATATAATTTAATAATACTCTGTAGTATTAATAATTTCATTTTTTTTCTTTTGTTTTTGTGTTTAGAAAGTCACAATAACTAGTGATGAGAATCGATTTCAAATTCTCTCAATTAGAAGAAAGGAAGTTCTAACCACTTGAATTATTTCTCACTCTTTAACAATTTCGTTTCAAATAAAAAGTGTTAAAACTTTTGCAAATACTCCGTATATTGAAGAGGAAAGAGTTTTTCTTGTATGGAAATATATATTTCCTTCTATCTTTATCAGAATATTAGATAGGTGGTCTATGCTTAATTGGAAAGATTGCAAAAGACATTATGCTATGTTATATTACCGTACCATAAGTTTGAAATTCTTAAGAGATTATAGAGAAATTCCTAACGAAAGTTGTGGACTTGTGTCGTACGTTCATTTGCGGCTGATGTTGCTAACTCGGATTATGTTTTATTCTCCAAATTTCCAATTGTGTTGGATTCTTTGCTGGATTGATTAGTATGATTAAACATGTTTAGCTGTAAGTCAAAGGAAAAGTTCTATTTATCTTTGGCTTTCTTGTATCTTGGCTTTTAGCACAATGAAAATGCTACTCAGTCTTGTATGCAGTTGGCCTGGCCACACCGTGTGAATGCTTGTAATAGAACAAAGTTATCCCTAAAACACTAATTAAGTAGCTCTTCTGTTATTGACCAGGTAACTCCTTTAACGCTGATCGAGTAACCCCTTTAATACTGACGAATCAACCCCTATTACACAACCAAGAAAATCCTATAACACTAATGAAGTAATTTCACATGATGGCTGGCCATATGATGTGACTAGCCACATATAAGAATTTGTGATGTTCATTTTAAAAGTTTAAAGAGTATTACAATTTTTCTTATTTTAATTATACATTAGTGCAAATATACCATACCATTTGGGGGAAATGTATTGTTAACTGATCTCTTAAATTAGGATTTAAAGCACCATTAAGAAATTTTGCATTGGAATCCGTGTCAAGGCTCAAAGTTGCACATAACCGAGGTATATCATTACCCTATGTAATTATGGGCTCTTTAGCATTACGAAAATTTTAGGCCAGGCCCAAACAATATTACATATTGTTTCAGGACTAATGCAGCCCATATTCAAGCCTAAGCCTAAGCCTAAGCCCAAGACCAAGACCAAGACCAGTACGTGAGATTGAGAGAACTGCATCCTTCTCTAGTAAGTACTTCAGACTTTGAAAATCTTGTCTCTATATATTGTACGTAAGATCGAGTTGCAGTTTTCTTTATTTGCTTTTATAATTTTATTCCTAGCTTGCTGGTGGACCAGTGGTGGGAATTATTACAAAATCAAAAAATTAAATCTTACACAATCCAATCAAAAACCAACTTTTCATGTGAGTTTCTTTAGTCCATGACCATCAAATGTAACAAATGATTTTTTTTTTTCTTCATTCTTCTGCTTTTAAATAAAAGTCTCATTTTGTTTTCAAAAAGAAAAAAAGTAAATAAATAAATAAAAGTCTCATTTCACCCATTAGAAAAGGGACGAATGAAATATCAATTTATTACTATAAATTGTGATAACTTTAAAATTTTAAACTCGTAATATTAAGAAATAAAACATAAAAAATATCAAAAGTTCTATTGATATTTATTGAGTTTTAACTCTTGTAATGTTTGGGAGTAGTGTGGTGGAGGAGATGTAGTCTTTATGACTTAGGGTTTGTTCTGATTTACTGAGATAAACTGACCTAAACTGAACTGATTGGAGTTGAACTGAACTGAATAGAGCTGAAATGAATTGTTTATGAAAAAAGGAAATTAGGAACTAAAATAAACTGAAATTATGCTGAAGAGAACAAGTCAATTACTATGTCATTTGACCCTCGTAAACTAGAAATATTATTACTTCATATCATATATTCTTAGAAATCTTGAAAATATTATCACATATTTTTGTAATATCATCTCCTTATTTACACAAATTTGACACCTAGAATTGAGTGAACTTCTTTTTCCACCTCCAAAATCATAATGTTTCAAGAAGAAGGAAAAAAAAAAAGTTAGTATGGGAACCGATGTGTATAAAATCATATGGGTAAAATGGTCTTACCACGTGGGCATGTCTTTGCAGTGCAATTGATAAAATAAAATAGGCAGTTGGCACCAAATATTCCAAATCTTACCAAACTAGGAATTGTACCATTCTACTTTTGGTTACGGACATCTTCAAACCAGCTTTGTGCCAATTATATTATTTATTTAATTTAATTTAGTACTTAATTATACTTGAATTATATTTGATCATAAATCAAGAATTATTACCTTCAAAATTCAAGTAATTTTTATTCTATTCTTATCCTGTCAACGGGTGGGCATAAACTTTATTTTGACTTGTAATTTTTTCTATTTGGTTATCTAATTAACGTCCAACCATTGACTTAATATGTGTGTAAGATGCTCACTCTTTTTAGTGTTTATGTTTGGATGATCGATATTTATGCATGAATCTTTATTTTTAATATTTATTGATTGATTTATCAGAAAGAAATTTGTGAGATTCTTAAGATTTGGGAATAATTTCATGCTGATAAGTGCCATCAGATCTTAGCAAAAAGTTTTATTTTATGAGTTTCCATGGATTCTGTTCATTTGTAGTGTAATTATGTTCTTGAATCAAATTTGAGGTTACGGTTATTTCAAGATGATATTGATCATACCTTACATGATATTTTATTGTTTACTTCCTTTGTTTCAATAATATTACAACAAGGATGAAATTACGCATTTTAAAACACATTTTATATGGTAAATATCTATTACTATTGTATAAGTAAAATTAAGTTGATATTGTAAAAGTATTTTATGAGATGAATCTAACAAAATCACACATGACTATAAATCATATGAAGTATTATATGGTCAAACAAGAGAGAATAATGTAAAGTTCAATTGTTGCAATAATATTGGAACGAAGTAAGTATTATTTTATATTCAAAATTGATTTACTATTACCGTCGTTTTTGGACTTTTTATTTTTTTTTTCTCTAGATAGAAAGGAGTAATTTTTACATTTATTTTATTTATTTTAGAAATGATTTCGATACTTTCTCAAAAAAAAAAAAAAAAAAAAAGATTTCGATACTTATATAATTTTGTACATATTTCACTTCACCAAAAAGTTAGGGTTTCAACAAATTAAATAGTAATTGATCTAGATTGTCAGATAATATGAAACTCCTTTGATTAGAGTGATTTCCATTGATCCATATTTATAGGGTTACAATGAGAAACCTAATCATATAGGTAACTATAAGATATGTACAGATATCAAAGATAATCTTATACAAAATATATCCTAAACCTAGGATGAGAATATTCTATATATGGATATTCTCTATCACACCCCCGCAGTCAGAGCGGGAGAAAATCGGATGCTCAGACTGGATCTGAATCACGCATCGAACGGTAAGGATAGTATAGTAACCCATGATCAAAAGAGAAGTAGTAGACGTGTGCTGGTGATGACGATGAGAAGCAACAACCACGACCTACGTATAGTAGAGATATGCGTTTTTAGGCCGAAGGAGAAAAGTCACGCATATACTTGGGCCAAGTTGCAGATCCAGAAAAGAATAAGTTAATTAAGGGATCAAACCATCATCGGGGAGAAGACACTACACTACTACGTGAAATCACAGTTG